GTGTGATATGTGCTTACTTGTCCAGGAACAAAACTTTCATTAAACATTTGTATAAAAAGATATGTTATAACTGTACAAAAAGTAGAGATTAAAAACCAGCAACTAGTGCAATCTGGCAACCCTAGATTTCCCCACTGACGTAGACGGAGGCTGCCGGATTGGCAGCCAATGAACGTTTTTGTCCCTCGTTCGTCTCAGAAATCTGCACATCTTGGTTACGGTTTGGGGAAATACCCCGGGACCTGTTTCCTCTTCGCTGGCGTCATTGTTTTATCAGATGCGCTGTAACCTTTTTTTACCCCGTGTTCCTTGCCTTTTATACGGATCTTGAGAGACCCAGAGAGAATCTTTTACTCGGATCTCGAAAACCTTTAAACCATCTTTTATTCGGATCTTGGGGAAAACCATAAACGACCCCCCCCCCCCCTTTCTTTCAGGTCGCCCCCTAGAAAAACCATAGTTCCGACGATCTGGCTTTTATAAAATCAAATAAAACACAATCAGAGTGGGGGCGGGGGATGGGGGTGCCGTGTGTTTGTATTCCGCTCGATGTCTTTGATGTCAGTTAATAACAGGAGAAAGAGAAATGTGATAAAGGTGGCCTGCTTTTCCTTACATAACCCAGGCACCTACATAAGTAAGTAAGGTAGGGGTAGGGTTAAACTGTGGCGCTCGCCGCTCACCTCTCTCCACGTGCCGTTCCTTTGTCCCACACGTACCTTTGTCTCCTGCGCTTCTGCCAGTCATTATCCTTGTTTTGAAGGTTCAACACCCGTTTCAACGCTCTACGCTTATGATTTAAGAGGCGGGGCCTCCGAATGTAACATCCATGTCTGATAGATACGAGCCAAATGGGCGGGGAACGTTTAAAAACTCATTAAAACAACCGGCGTTCATAACGTCCATTGATTGTGTCGATGGGAGCGTAAATCACGTCGTTCATTTATTTTTTAATGAAGGATTTCACCATCCGCTGAGTGGGTGCTTAGTGGGTGTTCTGGTGTGGTTTGCTCCTTTTTTCCTATCAACGCCTACCGTCCTGATCTCTCCTCCTTCTTTTTATATATTTGGTACTCTCTTGTAACACAATTAATCTTCTTCGCTCGTATAACCATATCGTTTTGCAAGTGCCGCAAAGCTCCTACTGAAACTAAACCTGAGTCGTCCAGCATGATATCAATTGAACTTACAGTGTGCCCTTTGTGATTTCTGTATCTCATAATTTCTCAGAAGTGTTTCGATTTTTAAAAGTCTATTTAGTTTAAAAAAAAAGAAAAACACGAATGTGAATTAGGAAAATAATTATGATTTGCGGTATATTGTTATGCGCAGGAAATTAATCGTAACACATTTTTAATGAAATTTTTTTTAACGGAAATTTTTTGTGTTTTTTTCTTTTCTTGGTAGCGTTTTGGATAAGTTCGGAGAAAAGATTCTGATACTCG